TTATATTAGTTTCAGCAGTACAACATAGTGGTTCGACATTTGTATATCTTACAATTTGTTCATCACACTAAGTCTACTAACCATCTATCACCATGCAAAGTTATCACAATATTATTGATTATATTTCCTTTCATTTTTTAATACATCCCTCTACTTCTCCCATCTGACAATCATCCCTTTGGTCTCTGTTTCTATGTACCTTTTGTTTCGTGGACTCATTTGTTTAATTTTTTTAATATTGTACATATAAGCAAAACCACAGAGTATTTGTCTTTCTCTACCTGACTTATGTCACTTAGTATAATACACTCTAGGTCCATCCATGTTGTCACAAATGGCAAGATTTTATTCTTATTGCTGTATAATATTTCATTGTATGTATATACTACATCTTTATCCATTTATGTATTGATGGACAGCTAGATTGTTTCTATATCTTGACTATTGTAAATAGTGTTACAGGGAACAAATGGGGTACATGCATATTTTTACATTAGTATTTTCATTTTCTTTGAGTTACTCATAAGTGGAATTGTTGGATCATATGCTGGATCTTTTTCATTTTTCTGAGGAATCTGTTTTCCATAGTTGCTGCACCAATTTGCATTCCCACCAACATTGCACAGGGATTTCCCTTTTATTCACATCCTCAGCAGCACATTTTTTGACTTTTTAATTATAGCCATTCTGACTATAGGAGGTATTATCTCATTGTAATTTTAATTTGCATCTCCCTGATGATTAGTGACATTGAGCATCTTTAAATGTCAGTTGGCCATCTCCATGTCTTCTTCGAAGAAATCCCTCTTCATGTCTTCTGCCCATATTTTGATTGGATAGTTTTTTTTTGTTGAGCTATATGTGTTCTTTATATATATTGGGTATCAATCCCTTGGTGAATTCTTTAGTTTGCTGTATATAGTATCATGTCATCTGCAAATAGTGACAATTTTACTTTACAATTTACATGCCTTTTATTACTTGTCTGATTTCTGTCATTCTCACTTCCAGTATTACTCATATATTGAAAAATAGCAGGGAGAGTAACCATCCTTGTCTTATTCCTGGTCTTAGAAGAAAAGCTTTCATCTTTTCATCACTAAGTGTGATGTTAGCTGTGGGCTTATTATATATAGCCTTTATCATGTTGAGATAAGTTCCTTCTATAATCACTTTGTTCAGAGTTTTTATAATGGACATAAACTTTGTCAAATACTTTCTTTTTCCATATTTATTAGGATGATCATATAATTTTTATCCCTGGTGTCACTGATGTGATGAATCATTAATTGTTTTGTGGATGTTAAAACCACTTGATCATACTTTATAGTCCTTTTAATTTATTCTTGAATTTGTTTTGCTAGTATTTTTGTTGTGAATTTTTGTATCTATGTTTACCAGGAATATTGGCCTGTAATTCTATTTTTTTTTTGTAGTGTTTGCCTAGTTTTGGTATCAGGGACTTATAGAATGAATTCGGTAGCATTCCTTCTTCTTCAATTTTTTATAATAGTTTGAGAAAGATAGGTACTATTTCTTCTTTAAATGTTTGGTAGAATTTACCTGTCAGCCATACAACCCTGGACTTGTCTTTGTTGGGAATTTTTAAATTATGGATTCATGTTCATTGCTAGTATTTGGTCTGTTCCAATTCTATGTTTTTTACTGGTTTAGCCTTGGGAGGTAAGTATTGTTTCTAGAAATTTATCCATTATTTCTAGAGTGTCCAATTGTTGGTATTCTATTCATAATATTCTTCAATGATTGTTTGTATTTCTGTAGTGTCAGTTATAATCTCACCTTTTATTTATTTGAACTCTCTCCTTTTTTTTTTTGATGAGTCTTGCTAGGAGTTTGTCAGTTTTATTTATCCCTCCAAATAACCAGCTGTCAGTTTTATTGATCTTTTCTATTTTTTATATTCTCAATTTTGTTTATTTTTACTCTGATTTTTATTATTTCCTTCTTTCTCCTTACTTTGAGTTTTACTTGTTATTCTCTGTCAAGTTCTTTTAAGTATAAAGTTAGATTATTTATTTGGGTGTTTTCCTGCTTCTCAAGGTAGGTGTGTATCATGTGAATTTTAGAAGTTGTTTTTCATTTTCATTTATATCAAGGTAGTTTTTGATTTACTCTTTTGGTTTGATCCATTGGTTGTTTAGTAACATGTCATTTAATCTGTAGTTGATTTCTAGTTTAGGGCAATTGTGGTTAGAAAAGACACTTGATAAAATTTCAATTTTCTTGAATTTGAGGCATATTTTGTGGCTTAGTATGTGCCATATCCTGAAAAATGTTCTGTGTGTACTTGAGAAAAATGTGTAACCTGCAGTTTGGGGATGAAACATTCTGGGATAATGTGGCATTTAAGACCATCTTTTCCCTCTTAATTTCCTGTCTTGATGATTTATCCATTGAGGTAAATGGAGTATCAAAGTCCCCAACTATTTTTGTATCACTGTTAATGTCTGCCTTTGTGTCTAATATTTGCTGTATATACTTGAGTACTTCTATGTTGGGTGCATAGATATTTATAATTGTTATATACACTTCTTAGATTGATCTTATCACTGTGCAATGTCCTTCTTTGTCTGTTACATTCTTTGTTTTAAAGTCTATTTTGTCTGATATGAGTTTTGCTATCCAATGTTTCTTTTTGTTTTTATGTACATAAAATATCCATCCCTTCAGTTTTAGTTCCTGTGTGTTTTTCTATCTAAAATAAGTCTCTTTTAGGCAACACATGTGGGTCTTACTTTTTCATCCATTCTGCTACACTGTATCTTTTTACTGGAACATTTGATCCATTTACATTTAAAGTAATTATTGATAGGCATATACTTATTGCCATTTTCTTCATTGTTTTTTAATTGTTTTGTTTTTCTCCTGTGTTCATTTTTTCCTTTCCTTTTGATTTGCTGGTTTTCTTCAGTATTTTAACTTGGTTCATTTCTCTGTATTTTTTGTAGGTTTTTGGTTTATGGTTCCCAGGAGGTTCACATATTTCCATCTGTTTCTATAGCAGCCTACTTTAAGCTGATAGGTATTTCAGTTCAAATGCATTCTAAAAGCATTATATTTTTACTCTTGCCCTACTCTGGTTTTGATGTCATGTTTTATGTCTTTTTGTCTTGTGTGTTCCATGACTACTCATTGTACTTATGGTTAACTTTGCTACTTTTGCTCTTTAACCATTATACTAGCTTTTGATGTGGTTGATTCACCATGTTTATTACATATTTGCCTTTAACAATGACTTTTTTCCTTTTCTATATTTTCTTATTTCAAGTTATGGTCCTTCTTTCATAAAATTAATATTTTTTCTTGAAAAACTGGTTATGGTGGGGAACATCTTCAGTTCTCAATTCTGATTGATGACCTTGACAGATACCATGTTCCAGGCTGTGGGTTCCTTCCTTTCAGTATTTGAAATATTCCTGCCGCTCCCACTGGCCTGATACAATGGCTTCAGATGAAGAAGCTGATAGCCTTATGGAATATCCCTTGTATGTGACTTATTTCCTTCTCGCTGCCTTCAAGATCGTCCCTTCATCCTTAAGGTTTGCAATTTTAATTAAAATATGGCTTAGTATGGGCCTCTTTATTTTCATCTTTTTAGAGCTCTCAGTGCCTCCCAAACCTGGGTGTCTGATTCCTCCCACAGATTAGATAAGTTTTTAGCCATTATTTCTTCAGATATACTTGCTTCCTCTTTCTCTCTCCCTTCGCTTTTCTGAATCCCCATCATGCAAATGTGAGAAAGCTCGATGTTATCCCAGAGGCCCCATGTACTCTTTTTAATTCTTTTTACATTTTGCTTATTGGGTGATTTTCACTACTTTGTCTTCCAGGTTGCTAAACGACTCTTCTGTATTAACCAGCCATCTGGTCTATTGTTTCTAATATATTCTTTGTTTCAGTTACTTTATTCTTCATCTCTGATTTTTATAACATTTTCTAACTCTGTCGAAGTGCTCTCTGAGTCCCTCTATTCTGCTGTCAAGTTTGTTGAGTTTCATTATGACTATTTCTTTTAATTCTTTATGAGACAAATTCCTTATCTCCGTTTCATTCGAGTTTTTCTCTGGGGATTTTTATTGTTCCCTCATGTGTGGCATTTTGTTTGACTTACTGTGTGTGTTCCCCGACCTCTCTGCCTCTCCTACTGTTGATACAGTGGCCTCCATGTAGACTGTGTGCCAGAGCGCTTTGGCAGGCTGGTCGTAGTCAGGGGGCACAAACAGGGCCTGGTGTGTCGCCTGACCAGAAGGGCTGGGTTCCAGGCATGTTCTGTTGCTTTCATTGTCTGCTGCCTAAGCAGGGTGTGGGTGGGACTGCTCTGGTTGTCTTTATCTCGATGTCCTTTTAGCTCTGCACTTTCTCTAGATAGAACAGTCCTATGTCCGGCAGTACCCCATTATCTCCACTCAGGGCAGCCCACCCTCAGGTGCTGCAATGCTTCGTTAGTTCCGTACTTCCTCGGGATTGGGCAGCCCTGGGTGTGCACGACTGCCCTTTGCTAGTTTTGTACCCTCTTGGGGAGGGTACAAATCTGTACCCTCATCTGTATATAACAGCACCCTGCTCACTCTGCATGGGGCAGCCCTACATGTGGGTACCTCAATGCTTGGCTAGCTCCCTCTGGGCAGGGCAGGCCCACATGTACATGAAACAGCGCCCCACTATCTCCACACTTTCTCTAAGTGAGGGGACCCTCAGCATTTTGCTAGCTCTGTAGTCTCTCCAGGCTGGTAGTCCCATGTGTGTGTGCAGCCCAGTAGGTGTGCACAGCAGCATCCTGTCATATCTGCTGGATCAATCTCTGGGTAGAGGGCGTCTTTGTACGCATGCCCTGGTGCCCTCCTGTTCCTGCTGGAGCCAGCTCGGGGGTGGGGGTATCTGGGGGTGTGCTACAGAGGCCCTGCAGGTCGGCCAGTAAACCTGGATGGAGCTCCTGCCCACTACCCAAGTGGAGGAGGAACAGAAACAATGGCACTTACCAGTTTTTCAGTCCCGGACAGTTCCCTCAGCTCCCAGAGAGCTCTTGTGGTTCTCCCACATTCTCTACACAGTTTCTCTTTTGTTTTCCACGCAGAAGCTGCCCGATTGGCTCTCAGTTGGCTCTCAAGAGTCAGTGTTCTAAATACGGGTATCTATGCCATGTGTTTCTGGGACACATGGCCAAGTTCAGCACCCTCCTCTGCCTCCATCTTGGACCCACCGGCAGTTTCAGTATCAGTGAAGTAGCTGAGCATTCAGGCATCACAGCCCACTTCCAGGGAGATCTATGGCTTCACATTCATGTTCCCCTAAAACTGAAGCAATGCCCTGCTGCCTTCACATTCATTCAGTGAGAAATCGTAATCCCTAAAGAGAAGTAGGTCAAGGTGATATTGCTGCCCTCATTCAGTCCTTAGGGTGCCAGACACTGAAGGAGGAACCTGCCTAGTAGAGGAGGGGAAATTGATCCTGCCACCCAAGTCATTGTGAACAGCAAAACTCTAATCATCCAAGTGGGCAGGAAGTCACCGAGGCAGTTCAGCTGGTGGGCACCCATGTGAAAAGGAGAGATAATCATTAATGTCACTCCCAAGGTAGGAAGGTCTTGAAGAACAGAAGTAAGATTCCACCAGCACGTTGCATGGAGCCCACTGAAGTGCAGACAGTGATTTGTAAGATGTTATAGGAGCAGCAGTGCAGGCTTAAATCAGGTCCAGCAGCATGTGATTAGCTGATAAAATAACTCTTTTGTTGTGCTTTGGGCTCTCTGAAGTACGTGACTTTAAATTCTGAGTTACAAGTCATTTCTGCATATTAAAATAAAATGTGTTTTCCCAAGCAGCATTTATTCTGAGAAATTCTTTATATAAGTGTTACTAATAAGAAAAAGAATTAGGTGTGCCTACCGGCTTACTGACTTGACATAATGCCCTGGAAAACAGAACAATGTTCTCTCCACACAGAGTCTCTTTGGAGGATCAACTTCAGCTTCAAAGAAAGTAAAAAATGTGCAGGTATGAAATGAAGTCTACCAAGACTAATTTGTCCTGGTGCCCATAAGTATTCTTCAATAACAGTACTCTTATTTACTTTTTTCCATTGAAGATAGAATTGTCTCTAACAAGGGCAGTTTGTGTTATCTAAAAAATTCTCAGAGCTCTAAGTATGGCTATATTTATGCATATGGTAAACCTACATGCATGAAAAATATAAGCCACATTTTATTTGGTCATTGAGGAAGAATGTGTAATTTTTTCATATCTCAATAAAACTGCAATGTTCAAATTTTCATGAAAAGTCAACTGCTTCTTTTACTTTCAACTCTGAGCACACACACATACAACATTAAAGGCCAGGGTCTCAGGGATTGGAGATACCGTGCAAATAATGGCTGAAGGAGTACATACTGCTTGTCAGTGTTTTGTTTGGCTAAAAGCATGACAGACACGTTGGGGTTTTCAGAGGAGGGCAGGATGTGATTAATAGGTCAGCTTGTGCACTGGCTTATGCACAGCTTGTTCCTGTTACGTGAGTCAGATGTGATGACAAAAATATCTTGTTAGTGTGGATGGTGGCACCAGCTTGTAATCATACAAGAACCAACATCACCAGGAGTCTTTACAACTTTTACAAAGTGCTGTCTTTTTTACTTAAAACATCAGATCCTTACATCTGCCCATGAGGTATGCAATGAGGGAACTGAAGGTACCTGAGGTTAAAATGAGTGAGAGGTCACCCTTGACACTTCAGTTAGCCACCCAGGACCTCCACCTTGGGTGTTTGGGATCCACATTTAGTTTTCTCTCTCTAGTGATCATTCCAATAAAAAGAAATTAAAAATTGGCCCCTCTGAGCCCAATCCCAACTCTCTGAAAAGTGACTGAAAATTTAAAGTTGTGTTAAAATGAAATGGAATGTTTTAAATGGAATTGTCCAGTATGAAAAAAAATTTAAAAAGCAAACCTTCATTGTCACAGAAATGGTTGTCTAAATCGTTTTCCTTGTCACTACAACCTTTCAAGTAGGTGGAGTAGTGATGTCTCATGTAGACCGATGGAGAAACAGCTCTGCTAATGGGGCATTAAAGGGTTTGCTGACCCTGATGTCACTCTGCTCTCCTCACCAATTCAGGACATGGACAGCACCCCCTCCTGCCTTTGCCACAGAGCAGATCCCAGAGGGTACATCACGGATTTCTCTGGAAGTTACACAGTAGGACTGTGCTGTGTAGGTTGCAGTTCTGAAAGTAGTGTATGCTGCTTAATAACGAGCCAGCTTTGAACTTGCCACTCTATGAAGAGTTCCCCTAATGGAGAAATTTTTTTAACTGGAGCCCTAGCTTTCCATTCCACAATGGGAGATGAAGAGCTGAGGCTAATACTTCTCTGCAGTTGATTTTTTCACTGAGTTCGAGTTCTGACCTTTTCCAGAGACCTTTGGGTATTGGCAGTTTTCCAATGCCACCAGAGATTTGGGTGAAGATTAAATGAAATGATAAATAAGGTGCCTGACTTGATCAGCTATGATTAGGTGTTCCCTAAGTGTTTACAACTTTTTATCTCCATTCCACTCATTCCTTGCTGTTCATCTCTTGAAAAGATTCTCTAACCTGTGGCCTACTTGCTGTTACCTAAATTCTACTAACACATCTCACAACTTTGCCCATGGTGGTCCATCTGCCTGAAATAAGCTTCTCCCTGCCCCTACTTGGAAAATCCAAGTACTGTTTAAGCTTCTCCCACTACAAGGCCCAAACCCCTGGCCCCCAACCTTCCTCCAGTGGTAATATCATGAGAGGAACACACTGTGATACAGTCCACTGATACATATACACCTATAGAGAGATTCTGAGCTCCATAAATACTTGCTGGATTAAACTTTTGAGGAAGTATCAAGGCAATTGTGTCACCCGAAGAGAAAACCAAAGAGGATATGGTAGAGAAAACATATTTAACTTACCTACACTGCTGCCTTCAGCCATGTCTAGGGACATATTTGGACTTTTTTCACAAATCTCCTGAAAGTCCTTGTTTTTGTAACAGTAAAACAGTGAAGGCAGCTCAGTAAGAAACATGCGCCCTGGTGATTATCGGCACATAAGTGGGTTGACTAGTACTCATTATATTTTATGGCTTGCTCAAGAAATAAATTTTCATTTTAAGAAAAAGTATTTTAGGAGAATTAGTTTGTTTTGTTTTGCTTTGCTTTGTTAAGTACCGTGGGTATTTGTTTAAAAAGTCAAACAAAAAAACCCAAGAGTGAATACGCTTAGATGAATTCATCTGGGTTAAATTAGCTCTGTTCTTCTTTTTGTATTGTCATAACTCCTGGGTATCAAGGACACAGAACTGGGAAAAAATGGCCTGATAAACAGCCCAGCAGGGTGTGAGGCAACTTAGGATAACACTTAGGGCAACTTAGTGTGTGCACTTTGGAACCATACAACGTGGTTCAAAAGTTGGCAATGAAAAAAATTGTCAATTATGCAATCTTGGACCTCTTTGTGCCTTAATTTTCTCATTTGTAAATTGGGATAATGATAGTAGCTAATTTGTGGACCCTTGTGAGAAGGAAGGGAATATAAGCCTGGTATATCACAGGTACAATGTAATTATTTGTGGTTGTTACCAGATAACTGGAAGAAATAACTTAAATCAGAACCATCCTAGGTAATCCCATACCTGTGGTCACCACGTTAGTTATCCACTGCTAGGCAGCAAATTACCCAAAACCTAGGGGCTTAAAAACAACCACCATTTAAAAAAATTTTTGTTTGTTTAGGTTCTGAGGTTGGCTGGGCTCAGCCAGGTAGCTCTTGTCCAGGGTCTCCGTGTCGGCCCGTCAGGCAGTAACTGGGCTGAGCCGACTGAAGGGCTTCCTCACTCACAGGCTGTGTGGAAAACACTGAGAGTCAGCTAGAGCTTCCGTTGGGACTGAACAGGTGGCCTTTCCCTGTGATCTTTTCTCAAGAATAGGAGACACTGGAAACTGGAAGGTTATTTCAATGAGTGTCGTGACGCTAAGACACAGGTGATCACAGCTCTGCTACTAGGTACTTGAGTGACCTTAAATAAGCCAAAAGTCTGATCCTATGCTTTCTTCCCTATCCAGTCATGATAATATTATCTGCTACCATTGCTTGGAGTGTGAGTGGTAGAATGAAAAGCAAGTAAAATGAAAACACACTGGAAACTTTAAATCTTTAGATGAGGTCATAGATGTGCTTTAAGAATTTTAACTGAAAACAAGAGGTAGATGAAGCAATTATGAAAAATCTTGACTATCCAGATGGTAGGTGTATATGTATAGAGATGAATTGTAGTTTCTGTTCTTTTGTGCATGTTAGGCATTTTGCATAATAAACTTGAACTACTTCATTTAGATAGGAAATACATGTTGTCATTACAAGGGGAATCTACATGCCTACAAGTCCCAGGATTTGGCCTTTCATTTGTTGTTGTTTGGGGATGACATCACAGTTCTCCTCTTTCAGTCTGTTTCTAAATCAATTTAAAGTACCTAAATTGAAATTTTAAATATTCGGGTCTCTAAAATTTATATTATTTTTAGTTTTAAACCAGTAGGTGCTAGCCTAAATTGAGAATCCAGGATCTCATAAAACGTAAATATAAAACTCACTTGCACAGAAGCGAGATTCCGCAGACGCCCAGAGCGGATCTGATGGGGGATGAGAAGGACCGGGCTGCAGGGTTTCCACCACTGCTAGTAACACTTCATCTCAAATAACTGGCTACAGACGGCGTGCCCGGTCCCTGGTCACCTCAGAAAATGGAAAACGTAGGATTAATTCAGTGACAATTTCTCCGAGGATAACATCATTAAAAACCAGGACGTGGTCCCAATTCAGCTTTCACACAGTCCCCGTCACGCCCAGAGTTTTCATCAGCCCACTCACCCAGTAAATCTTGAGAGTCAATAGGCCACTCGGAATTAGTTTAGTTATATAGTAACCATCGTGAAAGCGAGTGTTCTCCTCCCAGTACTTTCCCATTCCTTCTAAATGAATTCCTAAGGGGAGGAAAACAAAGATCTGTGAGTAGAACGGAAGTGGAGTATTTTTTAAACCATTGCATAGCCTGAGAAAACCAATTCCAATAATCCCTTGGAGTATTTATGTATTTTTCCGACTAGAAGACGTACTTTTACCCCCCCCCCCAAATTTGGGAGAAAAATGCAGTGGTGACCCTGCTCCTGCCTCCTGTGACCCTGCTCCACTGCCACGCACCACCACCCCCCAGCAAGCCACGTAAACTACATTTGGACTATAAGACACACACCCCTTTCCTCCCAAATTTGGGGGAGGAGTGCATCTTA